GCCCTCCGCTAAAGCTGCCGGCAGGGGGCGCCCCGGCGCGGGAGGCTGAAGGGAACCTGCAGGAATTGGGGGGAAAGGACGGGCGCGAAGCCCGGCGGGCGTCCCCCCAACAAATTATTTCTATTTTTGTATTTGCTACCCAGCCGCCTCCCCTTCTCTAAGTATGTTTTCCGCTGCCCAGGGCCTGCTTCCCGCCTCTGTCCCGAGCTCTTGGTCTCCCCGAAGACAACCCCCTCGTCCTCAAACCACCCCTCTGGGGCCTGGGGCTCGCTGCAAGCCCCGAGGCCCCGGTTTTTAGGCCGAACCACGTGGCGGGCAGCGACGGTGAACCGCAACAAAGAGAGGGGGAATGGTGTGCGCTTGTGCTCTGTGCGGGAGGGAAAGTCACCCTCCAGGTTCCTGCAGCTGCTCTTCCCCCTCATCCTTGCTTTTCTGTAAACGAGGGTGAGGGTAGGTGGCGGCGTTTCTCGCAGCCTGAGCTTGTTAGGGCCCTGTCCGAGGAGAGCGGAAGGATGGGAGGTCTGAGGAGAGGCCGGGAGGGCAGATGGACAGCACGGACGGCGGTGGGTGTGTGTGTTGTGAGATGGTTTACTGCGCGCGGGGCCGGCCGGCGGGGCTGCGGCCGCCTCCCCAGGAAGGACAAAGCCGAGGTGGGGAGGGGTGGCGTCTCGCCTCCTCTCTCTCGGCCCACCGCCACTTTCTCTTTTTTTGGTTTGGGATGGAGGCGTCTTGAATATTTTATGCAAAAAGCAATGGCTAATGAGGTGTCCACAGCCAGGCCAGGAAAGAAAAGGGGCATGAAGGGGAGAGCGAGATGGACAGGTCTCTGGAGTATTGGAAGAAGCGTTTTCAGCTCAGTTTTTCAGCTACCGGGTTCCACTTCATCTGGGAAATACTTGAATCTCTCGATGTATGCTGTTCTCCTGCAGCATTTCCTTAGACACTTTTCTGAGTTCGAACTCTCTCTCCCTCATTCCTTTCGTTCTTCGCTTTCTCATTCCTGGGGTAAAATGGTTCTTGGCATATTTCTCACGCATGTCTATTGCGCCTTCGCCGCTGCACAGCCGCCGCTGGGTTGTGGAGACCCGCTCTGCCAACTCCGGCTACTGGAGGGGGTTTCCTTGAACTTGAAGAAAGGCACATCAAAACCCACCAGTGTTAACTGCCACGTCAATTTTGATGCTAATAATGTGCAGATTATGACGAAAATTGCCAATCATGCTCTCTGA